TTAATTAATTAATTAATTAATTAATTAATTAATTTGCCCTCTGGTCCATCCTGCCCACTCCCACCGCAACCTTAAATGCCCGCCCATCCAAATGCAACACACACTGCCTTCTTCTTTGCCTTTTGCACCAAGGAAGGAAATGGAGCTTGTCTCCGGGTCTTGGATCATCCTCTCTCTCTCTCTCTCTGGGCCTCTGCTGCTGAGAGAGAGAGAGGACGTCTCCCTGGTAACAAGCATCAAACCTCTGGGCTTCTGTTTCTCTTTGTGGCCTTGCTTTTGTTTAACCTCCTGGGAGGGTATCAAAAACTGCTTGGTGCCTCGGACTAAGGAGAAAGCATGGGGAGGAGAGGCTCAAAAGGGCGATCAGGCAATCCTGCAAACAGGCCAAAATTTCTTCACCTGGATCCCGAGTGGGAGGTGACGGACCTCTCCTGCACAATGCCAGCAAGTGATCTGTGTAGCAGCTGAAGCTTGCACAGCAGCTCTTGTTTAGCTGGTAGAAGGACCTGTTGCAAACAGATATTTGCTGAGTCCAAGCTCACCATTTTTTTGTCCAGATTTTTGCGCCTGCTAAACCAACCCAAAGCCCACCTGTAGATTTTCATCCACCTTCTGCCCACCAGGCTCATTCCTTCGAGAGACTACCACCTAGAATACAGTTTTCAGCCTTCCCTTGGGAGAAAAACAACAAACAAACAAACAAACTTCCTGGGTAAAGGGTAGTCCTGTTACTCAGCCACAGCAAAACTGAAGGGAATTTTTGTGGCACTTTAGAAAGTAGTAAGTTTGATTTAGCATAAACTGGAATGGACCGTACCCCAGTTGCATCTGGAGATATACATGCATTTATCTCTCAATAGGCATGCCTTCTTGCCTATATATTTTTCCCCTTTTCTGTCTAAAATTGTTACAACATGCATTTTTCTAATGACATCAACATATATATGTATATATACACGTATACATGTACATACACACATGTCTATATGTGTGTATGTATACACATAAAAACACACACACACATGTATATACACACATAAACACACACATATATACATATATCTCTCAAATGGGAGAATTTTGTGAGTGCAACTACAGAAGTAATGTTAGGGAAATCCAGGTGGAGCGGCTGGAAATGTCTTGCTGACATCACGAGAAGTCTCCTTTTCTTCAAGGAATGGAAACCAAGAAGGCCGCGTCTAAAATTACCAGCTATATAAAGGGTGAGGTTGTATAACACGGAGAGGAAGTGGATACAAGCAGAAGCACATGGTTTCAATATAATCTAGCCTCTGTAAAGGACTTCTAAGCAAATTAGTTTATTTCTTTTTCATTTTGCAAACTATTATTTTGAAAAATAAAATAAAATGAAAAAAATTATCTCCAAATAAGTTACACATTATTTAGGATTTCTTGGTAATTCATATTTTTATCACCATTGCTATTTATTTATTTGTCTGTTTGTTTAATTCCAATTAAACAAACAAAACGGGTACACAACTGCCTGTTTGGTGTAAATGCTCTGTTTGGCCAAAGTTTTACAATGAGCCATTTTTACTTTTGACAATTGGCCACAGTGGGTAGATTTTCAGTTTCTTCCAATGTGCCAGTTTTTGCAACTAAAATGTGGCCCGTAGTTAATAAAACATTTACTAAACACCAATGTCCCTTTACACATACACACACAGATTGTCTACATAGTCTTATCACAACATTTTAAAGGATCATTAGAACACTGGCTGTACTTAACAAATTGTTTCCTAAACACTGTCCAAATAATTCTGGCAATGCATTTCTGTTATTAAATTAACAAACTGCTTAGTAAACATCCTGTCCCCTTTTTTTTATTTAGAGAGTTGCTGGCCAAAACAGTTCCTGGTTTTAAAGTTACAATTCCTCTGATAATGTATTTTATACTTCTGAAGTTCCCTTGCAAATTGGCTTCAACTTTGCTGAATCCGGCAAGAGCATAATCAATGTATTTGGTAAAATAAAAACACAGTTGTCCTATAATAAATTCAAACTCTAACTGTGGAACTTAGGGACAGGAAGTATGTGATACTGTACTCCGCATGTTCCTGCCAGGTCCCATAATTATTCACCCTTAGCTATGGGAATTGTAGTCCAACAATATGTAAGGGGGCACATTTCTCCACCCCATATTGCATGGAGTCTTAAAAGTGGAAATTGATTCCTCAAAAAAAAGAAGCACATGTGGGCCCAGGAACGGGAAGAGACATACTTGAGCCCAAAGTGGATAACCAAGAAACAATAGGACTTTTTGGAGGAACTTCCTCTATCGTTCATCTGTTCCTCTTGGTTTCGTTTCGTTTCTCTTGCTGTATCTCAGGTTAAGTTTGAATCAAAGGGGTACGAAGGAGTTCAGCAGATGTCGTAGGCAACGGACATCTTCCTGCCCAAAAACTGTTTATAAAACACATGCAACCCATAGAGTTATGACATCACACAAAAAAACTCACCACCTCCATGTTTTGCCTAGGGAAATCTGAGCTGAAAATGGAATTTCGGAGAAGCCAGAGTCCCTAGACAGATATTGCACAAGGGTACAAATTAGGTTGACAGGATGTTGCATTTCCGTAATTAGCTGTAACTCTTTCCTGTCACCCTGGGGTTGGGGTGGACTCTACTCTTATTCTGGCGCTTTGTTTCAAAATCCTCTCTACCCCCTCCCTCTTACATTGTTCGGCTTGTAATTAAATGCCTCTGCACCCCTGCTTGCATTTTTCCCTCTGCGATGGTGTCTTGCATTGAAATGTCACGATGATGAAGCATATCCTGTTGATTTTTTTTAAAAAAAGATTTCGTTCCATCAGCGTGACATTTCCATCTTTGAATGTTGCAACGTCACTTGTTTACATAAATGGGTCCCAGCCCATCAACTGGCGCTGGAGGTGCTGTATTTTCCTCTTCAGAACCACACAATCCAGATTATTTTTTAAAAAATGTTTATTTCTGGTGAAGTCCTCCTGGCTCGTTCTGGCTCCATGTTGATCCTGTGTTTGCTAAGCTGGACCTCACTCCGCTTCAGAAACAACAACAAAGTGGATAAAGCCGGCAGAGATGCTGCTGTTTATTTTCCCAACACTTTGATAGATACTTTAAAAAAAAAAAAAAACAAGGATGGAAGCCGCCTTGGGTCCTTTTCTGAAGAAGAAAGGCGGGGCACAAATATTTTAAATAAATACAATTGCAACACTCCGGATGGGAGTTGTAGTTTGCAAACTTCGGAGGGCAACAGGGTTATTGTTCGCGGGGCGGGTCGTCCAGCTCTGCGGGTCCCGCTGAGGAAGGGGAA